TAAAATTTGCAAGTCGAAAGAGGTTCACAATCTTCGAAAAAGTGTCAAAAAAGGAAAAAGTGGAGTACTATGGCTTACTTTTCAGTTCAAAGAACTTCGAAGAATCGTAATTCGACCATCTAACATTTCAACCGCCTATATAAAATGACACATTTCATTTTTAAACTCATCGTAACAAGACAATTATTTACGTATGCATCGTGTGTCGCCAACGAAGTGTATTGTGTTGTTTAAATCATAACTTAATGCATGCAAATGTGCCGTCACGATTTATGGGGAACCCAGTTTGTGCGGAATTTTGCTGGTGGTAAAGTGGAAAAAAAGAAAATGGGTTTTATTAATACTAAGATCGAACACAGAAAATTTTCTCCGACCCGATGGGACTTGAAAACAAGTCCATACTGCACGTGTGTTGTTTGTGTATTTTTTGCTAGTGAGAGATAGTAGAACCTTCTTCACCACACCAAAAGATACAGTACAAAGATCTTTAAAAAAAAACTCACAGGAGAATTTCGACAACTCGATAACTTGACCAGTACATCAGTTGGTAAGCGGAATACCACTGTGCAGTATGGTCGTGGGTTCAAGTCCCATGTTAATAATCATAATAAAAACTAGTGGAGTTAGTTCACAAAAAATCCCCATAATAATAGGTTGATCTGAAATTCTCGATGTTGAAGGTTTGTTCTTTTATTTTCGAACTGATAGAGAGATAAGTACTTATCATCAGCATCACCAATACGGATCTCCTTTAAGGAGAAGGTTTCGGTTATGGACCGCTACGCAGGTCCAATGTAGGTTGGAGACTTCACGTGTTTTCCAAGGGAAGGTTTTTTGTTTTTCAAACATACATACAGCCGACTGTATGTATGTTTATTAAGTGTGTTTTCCGATTTCTCCGTCAATTGTGGACCGATTTTGAAAAGTCTTTTCTCTTGAGGTGGTCCCTGATGCCGACGATGTTGTTCCGGGTTCGTTTCGGCTATCACAAGTAAAAAAAATATTTTCCGCAAATCAAAGTCGACTTTTCACTTGGCACAATATATACAATGAACAAATCACCGTCATGACAACCAGAAAAAAGTATAACAGTCACATTATCATCAAGAAGACAGAATCTGAAAAGCCGTTAAACAGACTTTTGAGGCCAGTTCTCTTTTTTTCAATGAAATTACAATTATCACCATGCAGGTTTCTCCTTACTTTTTTCCTTTCCGGTTAGCGAGAGGTTTTGCTATTGAAAATAAACAAATGGACACAATTTAGATATTAAAATCATAGGTACAGGCTATTGCTTGGATTGCCACTGCTCTTAGAGGTATGTAGGTTTGTAAATCAAAGTCAAAGTCAAAGATTATTTATTCCACACGTCACATTTAAGCTACGAGAAGAACGAGTAAGAAATTGTAGGGATTGCTCTTTTCAAAATAAACTTAAATGCCCTAGAATACACTCTGAATCAAATTTGTGTGAATTCTGGAGCCGTGTCGTCCTTCCATACATCTTTATCTAACACGTAGTCTTCAATTTTGTAATATGACTTTTCGATCAAAATATTTTTAACGTAGTTTTTAAACTTAGGAAATGATAAACTTAATATATGCTCCGGATACTTTTTGTAAAAACGCGTACAGATCCCCATAAAAGAGTTGTTTACCTTGGTTAAATGAAATCGTGGTACCATGAGTTTGGACTTAATCAGTTTTGGATCCGAAAAAGATGGCGTTACTATTAATTTTTGACAAAATCTTTGGGTATAATCTAGAGCATAGCAGTTGTTATGTCTGCTCCTACAAGTAATAGCGCGTTGGTATTTAGCGATGCGTTTTTTAACGTTGTACTGAAGTACCGCAGTTTGTATGGAAAAGCGCGGAGCACGCGGTTTTACCGCGCCCCCGCGCCGAGGGGTGCGGCCAACCGCAGGGTTATGGCAAACTGCGCTTCGCACTACCCCGCAGATTTTTAATCAATTTGTGGCTATTCCAGTAATTGTCGTTCGGATTTTCCCTAACAAATAATCAAAGTTTGTTATAATTGTTAATACAAAGATCGAACACTCAGAAAAAATTCCTTCGATCCGGTCGGATTCGAACCGACGTCTTCTTGCATACCGTGCCAGACGCTATACCAACTAAGCCACGGAACGAACCAACGGACCTCACGAATTTTTCTATGTGCTTGCGTCGTGTCTTTGTACTTGGTCTTTCAACGACTTTTTAGTCGTAGCGCCATCAACTGGGTGATAAATCTGTAATAGATTTCTCATAGATTGACATGCGTGAGTAGTTCAAAAATTTCTTCTTCATATTTTTTTAAATCTTTGTGATGAAGTTGAATGTTATCTTTGGTGCCTTTTTATTTTAGTGAACAAAAACCAGATGGACAGTATAACTGCAGCGTCCTGAATGAGTTCTGTATTATGAACCATTCTTGTCAAAGAAGGATCTCAAGGATCACTACGGGGCGATGAACTACGAAGCGAGTACTTAAAGTGGCGCGGGGACGCTAGACCGCTGCCCCCGCGCAGATTAAACCGCGCGTTGACGCAGATCTGCGCCTGTCGAACACTGACAGACCCCTTCCACTCTCGCACATGTAACGTATGTTCGAGACAAATCACATAAATCATAGACAATCCATATACACTACTGTAATCTTGACCCATTAAAGCGGTATAGAGTTTAGTAATACAGCTTCTTTAGAAAAAGTTTGTCCATGGAAGTACTGTATTTTACTAATTTCTGCTTCCAAACAGATATTGTAAGTATTACTGCGTTCCGGTTTCGTGAAACTACAGGCGATTTAACTTGTCATCCTCGTCTCAAGATGGTGCCATGTTATTGGCAGATTTAAAGTTTTGAGTGGCACTGCAACCTGTTTATGGGCAGTCACATCGCTTACTACTACTACAGTCACTTGGTTTTAGCAAAAAAAGTTAAATTTACATCATAATTGTTAAACTTTGCGTGCTTTTGACACTGTTTGCAAAGGTGTGCGTGTGGTTGTAAGTGTCATGGCTATCAATCACAGTTGCAGTGCCATTCAGAGCTTTAAATAGCGAAGATCTGAGGGGCACTGCCACTGCTCTGCTCTTTGAGACAAAGTTGACAAGTGCCATATTGTAGTTTACCAGCATCCTTATTCTTCAAAACTGGAACTAAAAAACTGCTTGGAGGCAGAAATAGAATGATAAGCACAGCTTCCTTAAGATCCTGGGTTATTGTCCATTTTGTCCAACAACCACGTCACAGTGCAAAATTAAATGTTCATAAAGTACCTATTGTAAACATTTACTGTTCTAAAAGTTATGAATATAAGTTCGTTGACCTAAATCTTAACAAGACAGTGGGGTGATGTCATATTATAATGCATTGTTTATATTATAATTAGTAATACGCAATGACAATGGATATCTGCCATTCTACGTATAATTGTAGTACAAATATGAACTCTGAAATGTAGTAAATAAATCTTCGGGTGATTTCATGCTAGGGACTTGACGCGTCACCACGTTTAGGATGGAGTGGTACTAAAAGAACAGCGGCCGGAGGAGCATTTTTGGTGCAAATTATAACTTAGCATTTTGAATCTTAGGGTCGTATTTTAGAACTCTACTCAATGCTCAATTCATGATTTGAGTATGGTTTAAAGCACTCGAAATCATACTCAAGTCCCTGCCATTAGGGTCGTATTTCCAGTGCTTGTGTTGCCAGTGCAATCTTGACTTGAGCATTGAATAGAGTTCTAGAATACGACTCTTAGTTTCAAATAAATAGCGCGGCACCGAGAGCGGCCGCGAGACTTGTATCGACTAGTTCAAAGAGGCATCGTGTCAACCCTCCGGCCGCTGCGGTGACGGAACGAACAAGTCGTGTGTCTGGTGGTAAGCGACACGCCTGTCCCTAACAGTTGCAGTGCCACTTAGAGCTTTAAATCACAAAGATCTGAGGGGCACTGTGATATAAGTTGACAGTTCCCATGTGCCTGTAATTTCACCTAACCTAACTCTTCGAAACCGGAACGCAGTAAGAACAGTACTGCTTGGCGGCAGAAATAGGTAAGGTGGCAGTACTTCTCTGGACGAACTCTTTCACAAGGAGCTCTCCTGCTACTACTCTTCAGTGTGCTCTTAAGGGTTCTATTTGCGTGTTATCGTGTTTTTGCAGCACATGGAACTTGTCGACTTATTGTATCGTATCGTATCGTATCGTATGTTATGGATAGGCGTGATGCTTACCAATAGGCGCACGGTTTAATCGCTCCACAAAATGCAACAGCGGTCAGTAGCGGTCACCGGAAGCTTGATTATTCTTGTCAACCAATGGCATTTAAGCGTTAAGTAATGTTTATCTAAAGAAAAGGTTTTTGTAAAAAAAGGGTTAACAAACAAAGGAACGGGGGCTAACCATAGTCTTCGTTTGCAAATATAATTATTTTGGAAATTTGAAGGCTTCAACTCTGCTGATAGCATTGCTTTAAATAGTAATTTCGTGACCTGGCTTTTTACAAACAGTAATTACAAGGATAGTTACCACTCTTTATGCCATGTTAAAAAATAATTGGTTTTGGTTAAGAATCTTATTTTATTTATTTCCCTTTTGTTCGATCGAAGTCTGGACTTTATTATCAAAGCTTGTTTGTTTGTTCCCTTTATTTGCGCATGCTTTCCCTGTTCACTAAATGTTTACCGTGTCAGTAGTCATTAACTTTAAGAAGCGAAATGCCAAATCTTTTAACAACTATAGTATAGTTAATAACAATATTTTGGGTGTCATTTGGGTTCTCACAAAATGCTTCACAATCATTAGTTATACTATTAACTTCATTAGAAATGATAATCAACTCTAAATTACAAATAAAAAAACACTAAATGGTTTCTCTTTAAAGGCGTCCAGAGTCCCTAGCAATGTTAGAATTTATCTAGTCCCGTGGTGGGCGCCAGAAATCTGTTAATAAACAAATGAGGTCTAATTCGTGTGGAAATGTTTGAATGTTCACAGGACGAGTTCCATCCGTTCATAGAGGCTCTAATGCCCTTTGTAAAGTCCTTTTCGTACACGTGGTTCAACCTACAGGCAGCAAAACGGAAATATTATAAGAAACACGAAAAACGGATGAGTCTCGAGGAGGAGCGGCATACTAAATATGAATTACAGGTATGTTTCATATTTATTTAGTTGCGTTTTATTGTTCTCTTTCCTGGTAACATTACAGAGTTTGACAACATGGAAATTTTGTTCCTGTGGCAAGGTATACAAAATTCTACCCTCAGTGAGTATAGCTACTATCTATTTTTGAAAGTGACTAGCAACTTATGATTCCAGAACGAAAAAGCAGAAGTAAAACAAAAATGGGCGTCAAGACTGTTGGGCAAGCTGCGGAAGGACATCACCCAGGATTGCAGAGAGGATTTCGTTCTCAGCATCACGGGAAAGAGGCCTGCCGTGTGTGTGCTCTCAAATCCCGATCAAAAGGGCAAGATGAGGAGGATAGATTGTTTAAGACAGGCCGATAAGGTGAGAATATATTAAATAAAAATATATAAATTCTCACGTTCGTGTCAAAGGATCATCAGAAGGATCTTCTGCTGTGATCGAGGAAAGCAGAAGTCAAATTTAATAGAATGTTTTTTCATACAGCTTGTTACCTTGATAGAACTACTTAATGCTCCTATAAACGTTCAATATGATCTCCTTCTTGCAGGCGATTTTATAAAATTTTACCAACTTCTGCTTTCCCGATTTTTTCTTCTGATACAATGAAATTATCTTTACAAGAAACTGAGTCGATTAGCATTAAATAGTTTTTTGTCAACATTATTGATTTTTATGGCCAACTCATGATTTGCCAAAAAATTGACTATGTCAAATTTGTTTTCACAAAAAAAAGAAACCTAATGGTTCCTAAGGCAGCTTCCTTGTATCTCCTATGGTTTCGAATTTCCCCATATTGTCATAGTTAAAAAAATCAGACTGTATATGTAGCCACAAATTTTATTTATAACCAACAAATAATTAGCCAATGTCAGTTATAAGTTTGGTAATTGGATGCCTTTGTACGATTTTCGCGTGACTAATACTGGTATAAATAGTTCAAGACAAACTATTTGATAATGTTTTTTATGTCAAGGTTTGTGAACTATCCAATTAGATTTAAATTCACAATTCTCATGCTCGGATTGTCGCACCCTATTGTGTAATAGGGCCACATCTGCAAACTGACAAATTTTAAATATTCTACTAATGAAATTAGTCGATGACATTTCATATAGTTCGTATTATTTTTATATTTTTTCATGTGATAAAAGCACTTTGGACGTATGAACGCATGTGAATTTATTATACCAAAATTGATATAGTGTTTACACTAAAGAAAAGATATTAGTTACTTTTCAATTTCACAATTTGTGAATTTTTTTTAAGCCACACCAATTGTCTGGTCTCAAAACTAGGGCACTTCCCAAAACACCAAAACCATAACCAATTCAGAAAATTTCATCAAAAGTCTACCGAGATTCGTATAATCGAACATGGGACCTTCTCGTTCAAGTAACATTAACCGTTGGGCCGGCGAGGTCGTCTAAAGGTCGAATGTGTTCTATGTTTAGAAACCTAAACTTTAAAAAAAATACAGTTAATTGCAGCCGGTTATTGATTGTTTTTAGGGTTATATCATTTCTATATGGAGTCAATTCACACACGTTGATCGACCATTGTTCCAAAATTCCAGGTATGGCGTTTAGACCTCGTAATGGTGATCCTGTTCAAAGCAATCCCCCTTGAAAGCACCGACGGGGAGCGCCTGGAGAAGCATCCAGAATGCACGCAGCCCGGACTTTGCGTCAATCCATACCACATCAATGTTTCTGTACGAGAGCTAGACTTGTATCTAGCAAATTTCATCAACAGCTATGGTAATGGGAGCGACGGTCTGCCAGGTCTCTCGCTCTGTATTTTATGTGCTTCTTATTTTCTTGTGTTTAGCTACATTGACGTCTACTAAGGTAGTTTGAAAATTGACAACAATTTGCACAACTTTGAAATACATATAAAGTCATTCTTTTAAAGGAGTAGTCAATTTTAAAATTGTTTTGTTTCATGTCTTCAGAAATCATTTCAGGTTTTTAAATCGTTACCTTTGTTGACGTCTGTAGAATTTGGATTGTGCGTTGATGAGTGGTTGAACAATAAAAATAATACTACAGTCATATTTGCAATCATTAAAATGTTGATTGATATCAAAAAGTTTATCAACGCTTCTTTATATTCTTTCCTTTAGTTGCGTATGTAGTTTAGTGTAGAACGTGGTTTAGATTTTGCAATTGTTTAAAATAGTCTTTTGTTTTTTAATTTTTAAGACTTTTTTGTACACTTGTCTAAAGGGCACATGAAATAATGCTACTAATTTTAGAATTGAATCTCAAGTAAGTGATCAAATTGACCACACAAAGCAATAGTATAGCTTCAGAGCCTGAATTTTGATTTATAAGCTTTGCCGCTTGATAAAACCTAAATCCAGAGTAGACTCTGATTAAATCAGATAGCGTCTTACTATATGAGTTTTGATTGACTGGACATCGAACCTAAATCGAATCGACAAGGATGCTACTTATTGCTACAAATTACCACTACACGCAGTTATCATCTGTTTCTATATTTAGCCTCGCTGTGAAGACTGAGACAGTTTCTGAACCACGACAAATAAAAGGACATTTAGTTTTTGTAATTTTTCCCAGGGTTTTAAATTTTTAGGTAAACTTCAGAAAAACTACCTGAAAACTTTTCCACAGGTTTCGTCAGCTTTTAAATCCAAATCTTTCCTTTCCCACTCCAAATTCCAGTGGACCTCTGTAACAACGTGGTGTGTTTCAGATATCTTATCGGGCTCGCTCTCGCCGCACACGCCTAGGGACAAAGAGAACGAACACGAGGCTAAAAACAAAGGTAACCGCGGCCGTCTTTCTTTAGTGTACAGTGTCGTGGAAAGCACAATCTTTCAAACCGTCTTTTAGAGCTTTAATATCACTTAAGTTGGTATAATAAACACATGGATTATTTTAAATTGAAAATTGGCTAGAGGATCTGAAACCATGACACTTGACCGGCGACTTCTGATCAAACAGAAATGTTTATGCCCCAAAAGTAGTTTATTAAGCGTTTGTAAAGCTATAAATGTCATTTTGAGTGTTCAATATTTGTGATAAAAGAAAACTGCATTATCTTTTATCTTTTGTCTTCAACTTTGAACCAATTCAAACCTGGATGCACATAACTTTTATCTCTGTCAATAGTTTTTAAAATCTATTTAAGGGAACCGTAAAATCAGAACTAAATTAGCGAATTGATCTAATTTCACTGCTTCCACAACACTGTTTATCTGCAAAAACTAAAGAAAGAACATTTCCTAAATTGGTGTTGCACAAAAACGTGTTTTTGAGATCTATATTTTTGTTATTTTTTTCCGCAAAATACCAGCATTGGCTTGCACTCACTCATGCTTTGAAAATCCAATTTCTGGAATTGTATGTTTGATCGTTTCTTTTGTTGTATGTAGTCGGTGTTCCTTCTCTTTTACTCTTTTTGTCTTTTGTGTATGTTGATGCTTTTCTAACATTAAAATTTAACACGAGAAAAGATAGAAGTTCAGAATCAAGAGATTTATTGCAAAATCTGAAATGATCATTGTTTAATATAACTGAACGTACACTTTTATTTGCAAGCTCCTGTTTGGAAAATGGTCTTAGCCGTGTTCATTGTAAAATAGGTATACCTATATTTAGAATCATCTTCACAATTTCTGAAGGTATTTTGTCTTATCGAGTTATCGGGTTTTCGCGATTGTTATATATAGGAAATAAAACTGTTTTTTTTTTGCGTATCACTTCTCTTTTTATTGAAATCAATGTCTTTGGCTTATATTATTACTATATGATTCTGAACTTTCTCCTCCTCTATAATAGTTAGAAAAGCATTAGCTTTCTATTTGTTGATATTGATGTTGTGATCCTGTAGGTATTTGTGTTTGTACATACGTCCTTGTTACACGGGTTATTGTTTAGCTAACTTTGTAACACATTAGTTTGAATTAGAATAATGTTCCTTTTGATTGTACTTCTTTCCACGAAATAGGAAGATGTTGTATTTATATATTTTAAGAACTCTCCAACATTCTGGGCAATTCATATCTCCCGACTTTGAGTCACCGTTTGGAACCTGTTTGGAAAACCAAATTTTATCGATTCGTGTTTCGATGTGCTGGAAGATTAAAGATGTTTGTTACTAGGTACTCGTATATACAGGAAATTTCCTGGTTCGAGATATGGTAATCACTGTAACTGGCTCTAAAAGGAACTAGGTAAACACTTAAGATTTTCTGCCAAAACGTTTTATTTCTAAATATGGTAAACATTTTGACGATTTTGAAAGTGATTTCATCTATGCACTATTAGAGTGATTTAATATTGGAGATATGACGTCTTCCTACATACCGTTTAAGTGGCTGCCACTTTCCTGCTAGAATAACTAAAACTACGTCCATAGTTTGTTGACAGAGACGACCGAAAGCATAATTAACCTTTTCGGCCCTGTCGGTTGCAGGCTACAGCCACAATCCGTACAATGGGGTGATATGCAACGATATCATACTCGCCACGGGTGTCTTCTCTTCTAAGGAACTATGGAAGTTGTCTAAAGGTATGTTTTGCCTTGTAGATAGTTTTGTAACCATATGTTTAGGCTTAACGCAGAAGACATAATTTTTGTCCGTGGAAGTGTCATATCTAGCACTGACTAAAGTGATTCCATGATGATGATGGATGGAAATCTTTTACATAGTATTTTATTTTAAGTACAGATGAATGATGAACGTAAATGATATTGCGAATGTAATAACAGATGTAAGGAATGACTAGAATGTGTAATGGAAATATGGAATGAATAGAGATAGATATGTGGAAGGCACATTGGGATTGGTAGAACAAGGAAAAAATATTGTTTATGATGCAAATAATCTAGTCTTGCAAGGTTGTTAAATTTTAAAAAAGTAACCCTGTATGCATGGAGGACAACGATTCTTTCGCGGATAAAAAGTCTGTCCTCTGTTTGCGACTATAATGCTGAAACTTTATATCAGCGGCGATAGTGACAACGGTGCTGGTCAAATTGATATTGGAGTAACAGGACTTGCTGAAGGCAGAAATAATGTAAGAAAATACACAATTGACATTTCAAGACGGGAATAAACAATTTAGTAGGTATTTGCACACTTACTTACTATCCCGTCCACGGACAGTGCAACCTGGGACAATAGGTAGGTTAGTGGAGGCGGAGCTGCAAAGCCTTGAATACCGCCGTAAAGTTGCCTGCGTATCGGTATTTTGCACGGAAAGTGTGCGATGGAATCACACGATTTAGTTCCACCTTCCACTTTTCATCACCGGGGGACTAGGCGTAGGCTTGAGTTCCACCCTTATGTTGTGGATATTCCTAAAATTGGCACGAAACGTTACGCTGCCACATTTATATGGCGAACGGCTATGCAGTGGAATTCCCTGCCTGCAGATTCGTTCCTTGAACCTCGCTCCATCGTCGATTTCATCGTCATTTTCCATCAGGTGAGATGGAGGTCAAATGTGTACTTATATCTAATAAAAAAAAGATTGGTGCACAAATACCTATTAATTCGTTTAATCGCGTTTATTCCCGTTATTTTAATCCAATATGAAAGTTTAAAAGTTTACTGTTTGTTTCCAATGTATAATAATCGATAAAACCTAAGAACTCGATATCAAATATTTTGACTGTCATCGCCACCGCTTTTGCAGTTAATTGGGCTTGTTTTAAATTGTTTATTTTTGACAGGGGCGGAAAAAGAAAGGTTATAGACGTTTCAGCATGTGCAAAAACAAATAAGATGTAATTCACAATGAATGCTTTTTCGGTTGCTGATATTTACATTTTAGCGATGTCGTTAGTTGTAATTTTGGACTGCGCAAAAACGTCTGTTTCGATTTTCTGTTACTCTCCCTAGTTAAGGTTCTCGTGCCAATAACCGCGACACTGCAAAACTGCTGCAGTCACATTGTCACGTTCGTTTAACCCGATTTAATCTTGAATCTAGAACTCTATTAACTAACCGTCTGCGTGGGCCACACAAAAGCAAACTGAAATACAATGTGTGGTAGCATTAATAATCAATTGCCAGCTATCTTTAGATTAAACCTATTTATGTGTGGTTTGATTTAGACTTTACTATCTATTAATAGAATTACAAATTGTATGACTAATGGATTATTAACTTTTTAATTTCAGCCTCAATTCTCCAAGAGACGGGTTCCGAGTCCCCTGGTGGCTCCGGCGGTGGCATAAAGCTGGAGTCGGGTTATTATTGTGGGTATAACAGTCCAGCGCCCCCCGCCTTCGAGCCCCCCGCAGAGCGAGCTACTCCGTCCGCAATGCTCGTGGGGCAGTGCTTCAGTGAGTTTTATTTTTAGCTTCATGACCTATTATTCCTCTTCGGTTATTAGATACGACTTGCATTTGTTGCAATAAAAGTAAATTACAATTATAATTGATTCGTTAATTTATTATGTTTAAATAAGTATCCTTGCGTATGATGTTTTGTGATACCTTTATGGTCCTAATTGTAAATTAGAACTGGGAACCTTTTTGTTGCCGCAGTTGGCACTATACGTCGTTGTTTTTGCAAATGTTTTATTTTAATTTTATTTTTGTTGCTTTGTGATTTTGTTTTTCCATAATTGTGTTTTATACCACCATTGCATGATCAGGGTTCTTAAAGTCGAGTGTTTAGATCACAAGGATTTGCTAAGTAATAGGTAATAGATTTTAAAATCTAATTACGTGGTGATAGCACACGATCCTTCTTTTTACTAGAATTAAAATAATGAAACACAATCAATATTTAAAGATTATTTGTTAACAGTCCAAGATATCAAACCCCAACTAAACCCACTCAAATGTTACAAAATAAAAAATCTAAACGATAGAAGTGTCCGTGATTGGCCAAGAACCGCTTATATTTTAACCAATCAGGAGGCAGTAGATTGTTTAAGTAGCATCATATTTATCAAATGGTTACACTTTTGTACCAGTTATGTAACATTTTAAGATATTGTGTAATAAAATAATTTGAATTTTAACAGTTTCAAAAGTACAGTGACGTTATTCTATTTATGAACACAGTGACGCGTTTAAGGAGACTCTGGATTAGCAAAAATAATACGTTCTTTTTTTGAAATTTTTCATTTCAGTACTGATTACCATAGACAATAGAATTTTGACATTAAAATTCGTACTATGAGCTCACAAAAACAATTCACTGTCCATGCAGCTTACGGTCCCCATTCGAAATCCGTTCACCTTTTCTTTCATAGCAAAATCTTATCATGACGTGCCATTTGCCATGCAAATCTGTAAAAATAAGCAATTCAAAAAAAGTTACTCCGTGACTAACTTTTTTTAGATTTTGTTACATTTTTAAGGAATTTCGTTGATCTTTTTATGATATACCTATAGCCAATTGTCAATAAATAAATACAATTAACTGTTGAGCGTTTTTTGAAAATTTTAGTTTGAGTTTCCAATCTTTAAAGTGTTGTTGATAAATTATTGGCATGAATGTTATTGCAATTTTTAAATGGAATTTTAATTATTTTAATAATTTCATTGACCGAAAATCGTAAAATAACTTAAATAGTGCCAAATTTGACTATTAACGCAATCAATGAAAATGTACGAATACAAGATACGTTCCAATAATGTTATCAAATTACAATCTCACCTTATTAATTTCAATGATAATGACTAAACATGACATGTAATTTCGTCGTACGACAAATTGTAACGTATAATTGAAAAGTTGCCGATATTACAAAACAACGTAATAAGTATAATTAATAATAAAATTAATAAAAAAAATTAATTATTCTCATTTTCAACACAATCGGTTAGCTACTGCTTGAACGCTCCCGTGATAGTACATCTGTCTATTTCTTTCATATGATTTAGTATGTACTTCCATCTCGCTCTTGTTAGATGTCAGCCAGCCATTTAAAAAGTAAAATTCATCATCCTGCCATGCCATTCCCGTTCAACTTTGTGTAGGTCATGATACGAATTTAAGCAATTCACGTTTACCACGTCAAGTGAATTGCAAGGAACTTGGCTGGCTTATAAGCTCATAGTAGGCCCCTAGGAGTAGAAAAAGGTTTTTTTTATGGAACCAAGCGACAGGACTAACAAGTTGCGCGCTTGGTTGTAAACGACTGTCTACAACAGTTGCAGTGCCACTCAGATCTTTAAATTACAAATACCTGAAGGGCACTGCCACAGGCTCGTCACTGCGAGACATGAAATCCTATGTGTCTCTAGTTTCACCAGCACCCTTATGCATAGTAAATATGTATATTTATGGGGTCGGTATCTTAATGACCATATCATCATAATGACCTGATCAGCATAAGGACTAGACAGCAAAACGACCACCTTTGCAGAAGGGCTAACTTACAATGACTTGGTAGCAAAACGACTAGATATCGAAATTACCGTATCGTTAAATGGACCACATGGTAAAACGACAAGGTAGCAAAATAACTAGATTTATGTACCTAACTTTCAAGGAAATAGTACATAATGTTGATTTTATGGAAATACCTCCTTCTGAAGTCCCAGAATTATTGTACTGCATTTGTTCTATATTTTTGATGTGTAATTAGCCAATAGCTACTGTAGTGTACGAGTGTTTACAAAGTTTTACATTATAATTCGTAAGTTGAAATATAACCACTCCTGAGTGATACTTTAGATCAAAAGTAAGCGACAAATTTACCTATATCAGGGCTTTAATTAGCAAAGCCCTGATAGGCACTACCATTGGACCCATCACGCGGAGATTTAACTTGACAAGTCCCAGGTACCTTTAGTTTCATATTCGAAACCCGAACACTGTGATGGTCACTTGCAGTGCAGATGCAGTACTTCCCAGGACGAACTCTTTCACAAGCCTCAGGCGCTATATTATTATTATAAGATGTCATCGGCCTAACTCCATAAAGAAAAACAATGGTCCGTGACCAAATTAGAGCCGTGCAAGTCTGGGCACACGCACGTGTTGATCGCTAAATATAGACAATGAATATAATTAGTATTTATGTATTACTATTCATGAATCACGCCGGTTTGTAGCAGTTGAGCTCTTTGTGAACGAGTTGGTTCAGGGAAGAACTGCCACCTTACCTATTTCTGCCGCCAAGCAGTAATGTGAACATAGCTTGTCAACTTATGTCTCAGGGTGGTGGGCGTAGTGGAGGCGCCCCATAGATTTTTGCGGTTTAAAGCCCTGTGTGGCACTATAACTGTTATGGACAGGCGTATAGCTTTCAAAAAAGGTCATAACCGGTTAACGTACGGTTGATAAAATTCACATGCAAATAAAATCACCTCTATGTCATCATAATCTTTTATTTTCATTTTAATTACATTTAGTGACAGTTTTTTTTTTAAATTTTATTATTTATTGCACATTGAAAAGTACAGAATACATTTAATAAAAGGCAAACACAAATAAAAATACGGGACAAAATAACTATAATAACGGGCTCACGTGCACAAAAAAACAAAATTATGTAATAGGTAACTAATGTATATGTAATGTTATACAATAGATAAATAATGCTCCTTAACCATTGACTTACAATTATATGGACGTCTGGTCCGCGCTAAAAATTGTCCGAACTTATAGGGCGTTAAAGTCGTATACAGAGCGTCATTCACGCTTTAGTCTTCGTTTGTTCGACTGACAGCGAAGCAAGCAACATTAGACAGTACTGCGATGACATTACAATTTAAATTCAACGTTTTAGCTTTTTCATATTCCTTTACATGTCACTACGTTTAAATAGGTTGACTTGGGACATTTTTTTCGTGGTTTTTGTATTAGACCCGTCGTCCATTTATTTGTAAGTCAATGTCCTTGTAGCTAATGATGTTCTTTCGTGAACATAGGAAGTGCGTTCCAAAGTCTGACCGCATGAACAGTGAACGAGTGAGAATAAAAACCAGAATTGAAGGAAGGAAAAGATAACTGGGAGCTAACAAGAGAGCGACAGGGTTTGTCCTGAGACCTGACACTCGGGAGACTAAGGGTTATGAAGAATATTGTAGAGAACAGAGACAAAAACTCAACAACAACAATTTTTATTGAAATCGGTTAACAGAAAGCGAATGAAATTCATTAAACCGGATTCATCATTTCATTTGCCACTCTTAGAACGTCTACGCACTGCATGCGATACCTACGTATTCGTTCCGAATTTGAGACTATACAAATGTAGAAAACTTCGACCCACTTCGGATGTCACTGGAGCACTAAGTCCGTTTCGAACCCGAGAAATAACAAATATCGCTTGTACACCTAGAGATAAAATAATCCCTGTGACATTTCGGACTGAATCGGACGTAGTACGGTACGATGTACTACGTAAACGCTCTTAGAGGTGGGACATTTTCTTTAAATTTGAAAAGACTACTCACTGAGGTACCTCCTTTTTTAACATAAATAATCTCAGTACAGAGTACTAAAAAAACCGACCTCAAAAGTACGTGGAGTTACGTCTATTTGCTAAGTTTCATTGAAATATCCCCTAGTTCGCCACTATACAGGACTTGACGCTGGAGATAATAAAAAATAGGTTCTCACTACGACACTACTCAAAGTATATTGAGAGAAAAACGCCTTGAATGGAAGAAATAGCAAAATCAACCATTAAAGTAATTGCTCCTAAATTAAAGTTAGGCGCTATTTATAAAAATGAATCTTCATGCGTGAACAGCCACCGTTAGAGGTGGATGATTTTCTTCAAAATGAAATGGGACCACTGTGGAAGTGCCCCTTTTCAAAAAAAAAAGAATCATGAAAATCGGTTCACAAATACCGGAGTTATCGCGTAACATACATACAAAAAAAAAGAAAAAAAAAGAACATACAGTCGAATTGAAAACCTCCTCCTTTTTTGAAGTCGGTTAAAAAAGGTTTTGATTTTTAGTCTGCCAGTGAAAGCAACCATTCGGTCGGTGAATGACGTTAGATGATGGCAGTCAATTCAAACAAATGAACGAGATCGAATTCTATTCTTAAATGTAACACGTGTACTGCACATTGAGTATATAACCAGAAATAGAGACGAAATAAGGGCTTTATATTCCTGGTAACTCATCAGTGATACATCACTTATAAATATCAATTCTAGTTTGCACTGAAATATAGACAGCCGCCAACAATTGACCTGTGTGTACGTCTCCGTATATTCCAAAAATATTCTGTATTTATTGTAATAAAGATAATATCTCTAACAATACCGTGCTGTTCTGTTCGGTGGTGTGGCAAAAACAGCAAAACATCTAATTACAAAACAAACGGAATCAAATTTCATTAGTAATTAAATATGAAGTATGTTGTTTTGTCATTTTCGTCCATAATAGCTCAAGTTAATTGGTCGATTTGAAGTGAAACAGTTGACGACACCCGTCAATTGTTTCGAACTCGGGCTAGCCAAGCGGAGCGCAGTTGTCACAGTAATGATATGGCAGAATAATTTTCAAACAAATTAAATGACATTTCGTCTCTATTTCTAGTTATATACTCGATGGTACTGCACGTAGAATCAGCTCGATACTCTCTGTTTTATTGAAATACAAAATTGTTATGTCCCCATTGAAAAACCCACATATTATTTTAATTTTGTTATCCGTTCCAGGCATCCCGCACAGTTCTGCGGGTCTCACTGCGCAGTCGCCGCTGGTTCCATCAAACACCATTTTTTACCAACACCCACCTCCCACCGATACGCATCCCACTGGTAAGTTAATTTATCTGCATATATTTTTGTTATCGCAATATGTATATTATATCGGGTACTTACCAACGCTAAACTAGCTACTGGGTAGCCGCCGTGATAGCTGTGGGACATGGTTGCCATCGTGGTAACAATATTAGTTTAATAACAATGTGATAGAGTTACAAACAGGCGATGTTTTCAAAATATAGTCAATATTCTTATAATAATAATAATAAAAACAAAACCAACATAAGTGTACCACATGGTACAAAAAAAAATTGTCAGATTGACTCGACCCCTAGAAACAAATCTATAGTACCGATTTTTGTCTCACATAATTAAAATTAGAATTTAGATAAAACGGGTCAATGCCATCTAGCGGATTTATAGGTACTATAAAATGAGCAAAGTTGCTTAAAGATATCTACTGTATATTACAACTTTTTTTGTAAAAAAAAACCGACCTGAAAAGGTCGTGAAATTACATATTCTATTTGCTAAGTTTTATTGAAATCGGTTATCGGAAAGTGCGCGAAACCTATTTCATCCCCTAGTTTGACAACCTTACAGGTATATACATGTATATACTTACAGGAATATTTTCTTCAAATTTAAATTGTGCCAATACTGCGGTACCCTCTTTCCAAAAAAAAAGAATCTTCAAAATAGGTTTATAAATGCCGGGGTAATCGCGTAATATATATGTTACCGGAAATGTATGTAATCCGTCATTGTATACAATACCTAGGAAATGTATGTAATTCCTAAAATCGCAAGGAAATGTGTAAAATAAATTATATTAGACACATTTCCTAGGAAATCTATACATTTCCTAAATAGCAATCGGAAATGTGAAACATTTGAGATTTCAATGGGTACGCGGGGATAGCGGGGCGAGGGGAGGGTATTGCTTCGTCTGATCAGGCGATCGCGCTAGTGCCGCGTAAACTGTCAGTGCGTACGCGCGTCGCAGTCCCTCTGGGCAGAAACGAATTGGACTATTTAGGTTAAGTTAGGTTTTTTTTATACAAACGCGGAAGTCCCTCTGGGCAGAAACGAATCGGATTATTTAGGTTAAGTTAGGTTTTTTTATACAAACGCGGAAGTCCCTCTGGGCAATGAGTGGTTTAATAAAAAATATTATTCTCATTTTAACAACGTGTTTTATTACAGAAAGCATTATTTTTACACATTTCCTAATACGATATTGGAATTATATACAATTCCTAGGAATTGTACACATTTTCTAGGACATTTATGTAACAAATAGTTTTTGAAACAATATTTTATACATTTCCTAGATAGCTTCGGAATTGTATACATTTCCTAGGATTTGTATACAATTCCTAGATTTCATATATTTCCGGTAACATATATACACACAAACATACAATCGAATTGTGAACGCTTTTTTTAAGTCGGTTAAAAATAGGTTTGATACATTTGGTATTTTTCAAGATTCTGGTATAACTGATACAACACATTCACATCTAATTGGCTATAATCTTATACAGTTGTTACCTTATTAAATTGTTGTTATTGATATAAAGAAAAATTATATTTGTTTGGATTACAATTAGTGTCTGTTGCCATGCTGAGTTGCATGTTCGATCTTCGTTCTCCAGAAATTTCTGTGTCTAGGATGTTACACGTCAGTTCTATTCGTCTTCTTCCAGCATCAGACGGCATTTCGCAACACTCGAGTGGCAAGTACGACAACGCGCCACAGGACTCCCTCGGAGATTTTGTGACCTTTGTTTGTCAGGAGCCTTCAGATGTTCAGCAATTACAGGTACGGTGCTCCGCTTTGTTTCTCAGTTCCACTAAATACATTAGCTTCGTGGATAACGACTAAACGACTCTTTTATGGGGAACTGTATACATTTTTACAATAAGATTCCGGGGCATATATTAAGTTTATCATTTCCTAAGTTTAAAAATTACATTATATTTTGATTGAAAAGTCATATTACAAAATTGAAGACTACGTGTTAGATAAAGATGTATGGAAAGACGACACGGCTCCAGAATCCACACAAATTTGATTCAAAGTGTATTCCATAGCATTTAAGTTTATTTGAAAAGAGCAATCCCTAGAGTTTCTTGCTCGTTCTTCTCAGGGAGGTCAGCGTAGTGAACGAGCAGTAGCTTAAATGTGACGTTTTCAAGTGTAAATTTATTTTACCTATGGAATAAATGATTTTTTGACTTTGGCCTTGGCCACGGAGGCCACTGGTTAGTCTCATCAACTGATATTACAAAAAATATATATTATCAACTGAGTAACGTTATTTGCGTTTGTTGTTCAACAAAAATAATACGTCTGAACCAATATATTAACCAATGATTTGAAATTTTTCAAATTTCAGTTTCTATAAATAAGTAAATACTAGACAACATTTTTAGATTTTCATAAAACCTTTACAATAACTCATAATCGCGTTCCAGGTACACAGCCTGTCACGGAGTCCAAAGCCAGCATATTTCAGCAGCTCGATGCTGCCTCCTCCTCCATTACCACCGATGGCAAGACCGGTCGCCATTATCAGATCTACAGGTATTTAATCTTTTGGGGATTTCAAGAATCGTGCTCATTCCTCCAATAACAGTAACCTACAACCTCCATGATTATATTTCTTTCAGCGAGCGAGCTAGGCGTCAGTGGAGGCACGTCACCGTCGTCTCCTGAAGTAAGGTCACCACCCACCTCACCGCGGAGGCGGTCGCCACTCACCTACCGCACCTCCGACTGTCACCCACCGATCAGCCATTTCAACCACTTTCATCCGCAGCCACAACAGGTATAAAGTTCCACGCGTGTCACTAAAATTAGATCTGAAATCAGAAATTTAACATCAATTGAGAATTTGTAACAGAAAGAAGATGGAAATTAATAATAATTGTTACTGTTTTACAAAAAAAACCGACCTCAAAAGTGGAATTACATCTGTTCGCCAAGTTTTATTGAAATCTATTACCGGAAAGAAGTTTCATCCCCTAGTTTGCCACCCTTAGAGGTGGAATATTTTCTTCAAATTTAAATGGGAAAAATACTGAGGTTTCTAACAAACAAGGAATAATAGAAAACGGTTCACAAATCGCGTAACATACACACACAAAAAATACCGTCGAGTTGAGAACCTCCTTTTCTTTTTGAAGTCGGTTAACACAATTAATAATGTGAGACCATCACGCCGATTGCGTGGTCTTAAATTAGGAAATTCCGTGTACTATGAGTACCAGAGAAACGGGTTTCACACTGCGGAACTACCCAGAATACCCAGAAATAAATCAGGAAAGTTCATTTCCCAAATGGGACTGCCTCATTCAGCGTCTATTGAAGTCCTCAATTAATATCAGAAAAAACAATTATACTAACTGCTTCCGTCGCCGAACATGCTTGCTGGATTGCCACGCAGAGGTCCCGGGTTCGATTCCCGAGCTGGGAGAAATATCTCTATGGCCTTTTGTATTCTTGTTTATGGCACCCGCGAGACGGATTCTCTAGTACGGGGCCATGAGTGTTATTATTATTATAAAAAAATATAAGACAACAAAAGCAAGCCATCACATATCTCAACCGAGAAGTGAAAATAGGATAATAGTAATCGGTTAACAGATTCTTCTCGGCCATTAAATTTTGGCCATAATGTGCTAAAGAAAGAAAGAATACCCGCCAGTGTCCTTAAAAATCTATGTAATAAGCGCCATCTAGTTGATTTGTTTGTTATCACTAGAAATTAGAGTATTCATCGCGACATCTGGTATGCCAATAGGTACTAAACATCCCAGTACGCTGCCTTGTACCGCGATTACCAACCCCTTGAATTATTGGTCCATGCTGACACAAAGATATACTAAGAAAAACTCCTTCGATCTGTTTAGATCTTTACGTGCTGGTTTTTAACGGCTTTTTGAGACCCAAGAGAAACTTATATAATGTACTATTTTCAGGTTTTCAGCTATGGCTCCCTCGGCAGCGTGGGTCTGGGCGGCGGGGTGTCAGCGGCGGGCGGCGGGGCAGTGATGGCTGGAGGCGGCACCATCTCACCACCGGGAGGTCTCGGGCTGTATGCGCCCAGGGCACCAGCTAGAGCTCCTCCTAGGTAAATTCTTCGCATAGCTCCTTAGGGTTGTCACGTGCTTGAATATTACAGTTATTTAAGTTAAACAAACAAGTCGTGCGCCTGATGGTAGTAGCTACGCGCCTGCCCATAACAGTTGTAGTGCCACTTAGAATTTTAAATCGCAAACCACAGCCAATTTTGAATTTCAACCAGAATCTTATTGTAGAAGCGTATAATTGTTTTTTTGATATTAATTATTTAATTGAGGACTTCGAAGACGCTGAATGAGGCAGTCCCATTTGGGAAAAGAACTTTCCTGAAATATTTCTGGGTATTCTGGGAAACCCGTTTCTCTGGTACTACATAGTACATAGTACACGAAATTTCCTAATTTAAGACCACGCTATCGGTGTGATGGTCTAGCATAACATTATTAATTTTATTAACCGACTTCTTGTGACTTTGTGAAGATGACAGCCAAAAACAACTAGTTTATTTTTAATATATTCATCTTAACATGAATTACATTTTCATAAATCTACTGTGTGTGTAATGTTTATCTTTCAAAGACACTCTAGGGCCCAGATTGTTAATGTTGTGTTGTGCATACATGCAAAACTCGTTGTTACGTTGTTTTGTCTTATTATTCTATGACATTAATTCGAATGCAATTTTCGAGAGCGAAATTCCCGGGAATAAAGCCCTAATATAAAATAATATAAACCGAAATTAAAGAAGACGCGTCTACGGCTACAGCGGAGGATACCTGCCCGACAACATCGTCACGATAACCACGCTGCGACAAAGAAGAAACAGCTCGAGATAATTCGAGCAGATATTACAATGAATAACACTTCTGCTTCAGATGGAACGCCCCTTTCTCGACTTTAGAAGAAGAGTTCAACATAATGACGGCACCGGGTGGACCTGATCATGTCGTCCTGCTCGATGATGGTAAGATTCTTTTATTAAAGAATTTCCTGGTATTTTTAGTTCCAGTCTGTTACCACGATACAAGTCTGTAGGTGAGATGTAAAGGTACAAAAAATACATGTACGTTAACCGTACATTACAATGCGTAATAACATAATAAAAAAAATAAGGTGACGCGGCTATATAGCATGACACAGGTAAATTGGAATTTATAAAACATTGTTTTAGAATCACGCAATGGTAAAAGACATTAAGTCTTATCATTATTTATTATATTTTGATGAAAATGAAGCAAAGTCGAAATAAAATAATGTTTGCATATGTCACACTGTATGATGAGAAGACAGAAGGGCGAACCTGTGAAATAAAAGAAACAAACATTTAGCACTTAGAGTCTGCTCTAAACAAAATAGTAGGCTCTTTTGCGTTCACTTTTAAATATTTATTTGACCTTAAGATTGATTTTAAATGTCTAATTATGAGCCCCATTCTCTTTAAAACACTCTGCTGTAAAGCCTACTATGTGGCACATAGGGAAGGTTCTTTACCTTTCGCTTCTTTTTGTTATTATGCAGGTACTTCGAAACTGTTGCACACGTTTTTTTATATTACGTGCCTATTCCGATTTTTGACAACACTTGCGGCTATAATATCGATTTTACTTAAAAAGATAATTATAGAACAGTAAAGAGAAAAAATTTCGACAGACACCTTTATTTTCCAGACCGCTTCTTCCAATCCAGCGTCATAACATCTGAAGCGACGGCGATGGACACATCGGCCTCTGTCGGTCAGTCAGTCGTCGAGCCGTCAGACGACATCGCCCCCGACAAACCAGCCCCCGATTTGCGATCGCCGTGATCCACGCCCCTCGCGTCCTGCGCGAACGAAACGACAGCTTCATCTAACTCACATGTTTCAAATATCAACTCACAGGTCTCAAATATCGACTCACAGGTTTCAAGTAGCAACTCACAGGTTTCAAGTAATAACTCGCAAGTCGCAAGTTACAACTCTCATGTTTCGAGTTACAACTCGCAAGTTTCGAGTTATAGTTCTCACATTTTGAGTCCAAACTCTCATGTTTTGAGTGTACCGAGTATGTCGCACTCAGATACTGTCTTGAGTCTGACAGGGTCTCAGATTTTGAGTCCGAATTCTCATGTTTCGAGTATGAACTTGTCAAATTCAACTGTTTTGAGGTGGACACCGGCACCGTTGCCTCATTGGCGGCCAGTGACACATCGGACTGTTTAATATTGTTTGCTTTTTATATATTATGAAGAGCACGTTTGGTTTTGCCATTAAAAATGGCATGCTATGATTTTCGTTTAAAAACAATTTAACGGAAAAAAAAATTGAATACTTACCAAGTTATTAAATTGCTTTAGGTTTTGCTGTTATGGTAAATTTCAGAATAATAAGAAAAACATTCGGAAATCTTTTTTTTGTGACATTTCGGTCAGCTAAGAGACTTGGATTTTTTTTGTTTATTCAAAACAATAATAATTTCGTTCGTTCAAGACGATGGCGATCGTACGGGGCAATGTAAATAAAATTGAAAACTAAACGCGACAGAAGTTGTAGAAGAAAGTCTAGATTTAATCATTTTTCAACTACGCTTATCCTCTGTGCAAATCTTAACGAAGTGACATTGGCGCGGGGCGCAGTCGAAAATTCATTTCAGTGCCACCTGGTGATGGAAAAGGGTAGTTAACGGCTAGCCGTTTTCAAGGACAATTTACTGCAAAATTAACGTCGTTACAAATCGGTAATGTTATTAAAAGACACAGAGGGTCAGTGTAGCTTTCCTTAAATACTCGTTAAGGCAAACAGAAATACAATACTCCAACGGTACTTATGTAAAAAAGTAATAAAGGTAAAAAAAACAACATATTATATTCTAATATTTTTATAGAATACAAATCGAGTATGATATGATCAAGCCTTCCAGTAATTTAGTGAAATGTTAATATGAGATGCAGCTTCAAAATTGTTTTGCTAAGCTGTAAGACAGTCTGTATGCTTTCATGAGGTGATTTACCACAATGATGAGTATTTACTCTTTCTCTCTCTCTCACATTCATACAGTAGAAAAGGGATGTAACCGTCTGTGTTGGTGGAAGTCACTTCATGAAAATGTACATTTATAGGAATGCGATTTATGAAAAACAAAATGCTTCCATTACTATCGTCACAACTCGATTGGTTGACGTAAGTGTGATATTATAAGTTGTTTTTGTTTCATTGTTGTGTGTTTTTGTATTGAAATAATAGAATAAGCGAATGTAGTTTACATTTTTTAATTTATTGAACGAATATTTAAGAAAGACGAGCCTTGCTTAAGAGATTAGTTTAGATTATAATTAGTAGCCATGAGATTAGGAATTGTTGTTGGATTTTCAATTCAGGTTTCGCGTAGTAATATTTCAGGCTAAATATGGAAAAAATATGTAACTGATCAAAAATGTTCGTATTTATTTTGTTTCAAAATTCAGCAGGAGAATTGTACTATGTTTTGATCTCAATATAATGTTTAAAACGTCAATTATATAAATATGAATTGAAAGACAACAACTGTTTCAAGTAAAACTTGGTTCTAATAGAATAACACAAATAGGTTCACAAACGACGACAAATGAGCCATTTCAAAATTGTATTAGAACAAAGTTTTGCTGTAGTTCGACAAATGTCGCGGGTCATTTTATAGGTGCCTTTCATAAAAAAAACGTATAATAAACTTATATAATAGGGACTTGTACATTGTAGTGTTCTTTAAAATCCATCCGCTCACACCTGTAACATGGACAGTTAATAATTAAATTAAGATTTAGTTTTGTAACCAAGAAGTTACAAAAGAAGACATGAATTTTCACACAAGATATTTTGAATAATGCTGTTAAATAAAGCCTTCAAGATACCAACGAAGTAGACGGTGTCTGTACCGTATTGTGTTACTCAGAAATGTGTAGTTATGAGATGTAGTCGTAAATTCATCATTTTGACGAAAATAAATTATCACCAGCTTAACACAGATAACTTAAAATTCTGAATCCAAGTACGTAATAATTTTTCAAAATTGTAAAGCTAATAAGAATTTTGTGATCAACGACTTGGAAAAAAGCACCTAAAATGGTATTCTATGACCACCTTTTGTAGTTTCCGATTATGAAGATAAGGATAGTGCTACATTCGTCAACCTCACATGCTTTAAATACATACTGAATCTAAGACATGTAGCGCATTAGGTTCAATTTATATTGCAGCGAAATAAAATGCATAATGAAGTTTATACCTAACTTACAAACTAAATACTGCGCGAAAGTTCTCCAGAAGACGCGCCACCTGTTTTTTTGGCTCGTATCCAGTTTGTACCTAACACAATTAGTATAAAGGTTATTATGTTAAGGCTACAAAAACTTGCTTCTTTTCGGCGGTAATGTAAACTGCGCCTTAGAAGTAAGTGCTTTAAGTGATCTTTTGGTTACAAAACAGTATTTATAATAATAATCCTTTAAACTTAAATCCTAATGCATAAGAATCTCTTTCATCAGTACAGCGTTTGATTTGCAACCCAGTGGCCATACGAGACAAGCTAGTCATTAGTATTACAATTGTAAATTTAAAATTACATTAAATGAAAATAAAAAAATATTTACAATTTCTCCTTACATTTATTAGTAAGGAGTCAAAACTAAATATTGTGGCCAAATTACAATTAATAAAATTTAAATATATATACACGATTTTTAATAGAATTTAGCCTTATATAAGTACATTAAGTTGACGATTTGTATTTTGAATTTAAGGTGACAATGACGGCAAAGGAAGACAATTGAAGGTAGACACGGAATCATCTTCGTGTGTGTGTATCTCAAGTGCGTTCACCTCTTGTGTGATTCATTAACTTTAAAGAATTTTCGATCTAATAACAACCCAGTCACGTCCTCGAATGGAAAGACAAAAATTATATTTGGAATTTTACAATACACACACCAAAGTCACAACTGTTTATTATGGATTCTTTCAAGCTTCTAAAAGCAAGCCTTAGTTCATTTTATAGAGATTATAATTTCTCATAAAGTCAATGCCTTTTTAAACAAAGTAGGAAGATAGTAAGTAGGAAACGTAGCAATAAATGACGAGCAATAAGTAAAATTAATTATTAATATTAAACAAACAGCTTTAGGAAAGCTAGAATTGGTACTGAAATTACGTAGTTTCCTATATTCATAACGATTGACTTGCAAACTATTTTTTCTATAGACAATCTGGCAAACAGACTGTAACAATAAATAAATTAATAATAGGAAAACGGTTTGGTACAATTGGTAGCTGTTTTCACAGATAATAACTATAATGTTAGAATTTATTACAGCTGGTATAGTTCAATTAGGCAGAAGAGCAGAAATTAGTCAATTGCTAGCTATAGACATTATAGAAAAATATAAAACAGATAAAGAAATAAAATAGTAATGTCACTTAAGGCTTGTTGATCGCAACGGTTCGGAAACCTATTCAATTTCGTCGAATAATAACCGAAAGAGGTAACCTTGTAACGTGGTAAGGCAATATTAAAATAGGTGACGAATTTAAAAGCTCATTGGTGCCGAAAATTCTAGACTGTGATTCAATTGTTCATTATGAACGTGTCTTATATTGAAATAGTTGTTTTTGTATGATTGGCAAATGCACAGTTAGTGTTATTGGAAGGAATTAAAACGCGCTATTGAAAATTGACAGACGGAGACATGTTGTATGAAATGCATTTGTTATTATTATTGTAATAAAGGATGTATTCGTAAATTGGAAGCTAAGAGTTAACTTTTTTGGACAGCGTTAGTAGTTTTGGTAGTATTATATTCATAGCTTTGCAATAGATCGTGTTAGTAACATGTACACCATCAGAAAAGTTGTATATGTTGCTAACATTGAGTTATTTTCCTTTAAATAGCACCATTGTTACGATATGGAGAATAATTGAAAGCCTAAACATTATGTGCCTTAGATACAACAATATTGTATGATATTTATGATGCGTTCTATACAACGTGCTAACTAGAAATAAATAATAAACGTTATTTTGAATGCCTGGACTTCGAATCGTTATCTCCATTGTTAGAATTGATTTTCGCAAAGGCTTGTAAATCTATTAAACGATCACTATCACTTCCTACTTGTATGTATAATTTAAATTAAAGGAACTCACTCAATGTCAATGATGTGTTTTGTTAAAATTTAATTTCATTTTTTAATATTATCGTTTTCAGTTTGTTCAATCAAAGTTTAACTATATACGTAATATTAACTAATTATTTTGTTCTAATTAAATGTGTAATGTAATTTCTACCATTGTCTTTATTGACAGTTTTTTGCCACACGATAAATAAATTATACTTATTATATTTATCGAAATTTTTATATATAATTGGGCGTCCAGCAGTCTGGAACTTTATTTCGAATCCACTGTATGATTGTAATCCCTCATCTAATAATTATATTACAATTAAGTAACGCTTCTATGCGTAGTTTTGCTGAAATATTAATACGTCTACTATATTATATAATTTAGTACTTACATACATTTAACCCATTTAAGTATCTACTATATACTTTACTGTATATCTTAATCTATGCAATTTGAATTAGGCATGCTTTTTTATTTCAAAACAAGGTGTAGACAATATTATTTTCTCGCATGGCTTCTTCGATATCTATTCGTACTTCAAAACCACGTATGTTCTGTATAACAAAAAATAGCACATTGGGACAATTAATTTCTATCTGATCATTATAATTGTTGAAAGAAAAAAGTAATAATGAAACTCAAATCCGTCGTAATGTTAAGTTTTGTGAATTTCTCAGATTGAACTAACAATACGTAAATAGAAATAATCGTAAGCATAATTAGTTATCCAATAAAAAAAATACTCCTAGTTCTGAATTTCTTGTGCAATTATAACTGTTTTTAGGCGAATTTATTAATTATTTTTAGCATATTATTATTATTGTAATTGTGTCCACGACCATGTCTGTAAATATGTTCTTTATTTTTTATTATAATTCATTTAGTATGTGAATTTTACGTTACTTAATTATGTTTGTCATTAGTCTGAATTCATGTCGTTTATTGCTTTTCAAATTTCCCATATTACTTTAAAGCCTTTTCAACTAAATAGTGTAACTTAGAACGCGTGAAAATACCAAAAAATACCGACATCCCTAAGGTTTTGGGTTACACAATTTGGTTAACAGACATAAACTAAAGATAGACTTGTAAAAATGTTATAACATGTATTTTTAACCTATACATAGTAAGATATTTATAGAATTTTAGTCGTTTAATTATTTCGAACGACTTGTTATAAAGAAAATTGGTGCTTAAAGCTTAAACAAATACGAAA